AATGCTATGCTAGCAATTGATTGCACTATCCACATCAAACACATCAAGGGATGCAAATTGCAAAAAATACCCATGCCAACCATCCCCTTTGGTTGGCAACTTGGCATCTTGTCTCTTGCCCAGTAACCATTGCTGAACCTGTTCATTGGCTCCATGTTGTTCAGGGCAGCATGTGCCATTTGCCCTTCTGACCATGCTGCTGTATAGTTTATGAATGCATGTAGATGCAGCAGAGGAGATGTCATCACACACATGGAAATTGTGGTTGGGGGTTAGTAACCACACCACCATCTTTTGGACAGTTTTTTTGGCTGGCATTATACTAGCCTTTGATGACAACCTAGCAATGCCATTGTTCAGGGTTGTTTCTCTTCTTTATTTGCCCTAACTAACCTACCTAGTAGCTTTTCTTGTTGTTCACAGATGCTTAATTCACATGTGAATCTGTTAATGCTGAGCTTGTTTAGTTAGTTGCCTAGCTTACAGTAGTTGAGATAAGTAGGGATCAATCATTTTCTTTTGTTAATTACCATTAGATTATATGAAAACAATGAAATCAGAAGAAAATAATACTGAAATTTTCTGCCATCTTGCACAGCTGCATCTGCAACTCCGTCGTCAGAACAATCTTTCAGTTTTCTGAAACCAGGTAGCTTTTGATGCAACTTTCTTGGGTTATTAACTAACAGTGAGTGCTGCTGGGTCTGTGTGCATCTCATCGCCAGCTTGTGCAATCTGTCCGGCCTACATTGACACGTGTAGCACTGCCTGGATTTGGTCGTTGGGTGATTATCTCGATTACCGTGCATGGCTCCACTTTTAAGGACCCCTAAGTGTCGCCTAATTATCAGTAAAGTAAAGAACAGAGCTAGCTTACCTGAATTTTCAAGTAATGAACCCCTTTTAAGATGATAGCCACTGTCCTTGTGCGTAGCAATCACTTATATAATCCCCTGACAAACAACTTGTTTTACACCATGGAAGTATATAGTCAAGCATTCAGTATGTGGATCATGATGCTTCTGTCCTCTCTGTCCCATCACATTCTTTTTGGACAAAAAATTCCATAACATTCTTGATGAATGAATCTCTTAATTTGCTGCTGCTACTTTGATGCAAATAAGTTTATGTTTTCAGAGCTTTGGAATATTGCCTCACACGAATGGCAGTCCATACTGTCGCTTGTACGTATGATTTTCGGTAGCTTGTCATTTTCACAGCAACAACTTCTCCCTTTCTGCCATTCTTTGATCAACAAATATACAGTTCATCTCATATATATGAATTTATTCATTTGATTGTTGCTTACATAAAGTAGTTGAATTACACTCAAGCAGTAGGAGTAGTCGTCAGTTGCAGCATAGCTTTCACTGACGTCTCTTTAACAAGTTGTTAATTAGCACAAGCATATATATTTTTCTTTGTGTCCTTTTGTGTTTCTTATTTTTGCTGCAATTATTCGGGTTGAAAATAATAAGAAGCGACCAATGAGAAATCCCTCCTCTTTTCTGACAGTGATGCTTCTGTTTTTCCTTCTCTGATAATGCATTGCTTGCTGCTTGCTTCCACGCAGTAGGAGAAGAACTGAAGAAGAGTTTCAGAGTTCAGACAAAGACAGATCATCGAACCAGTAGTCAATCAGTCGTCGTCAACCAGACAACGATAATTAAGAGTTCGTGCACGAGACGATCTTGGAGGAGAGAATGAGAAGAAGAACAAATTGAGGAGAAGAATAAGAAGTGAGAGATGGAAGCAAATTCAGAGAAACGCACACGGCGAACTGGAGATGCAGCAGAGTGACCGACTGACAGATAATACGGGCCAAGATCGATCGAGCCTGAATTTTCTTGCAAGTGGCTCACATCAGTTAATTTTATTCTTCTGTTCTAGTAACAAGTTTGCAACTAAGAAACGGGATCATAATAATTCTCCTAATGAGTTAATTCGAGCGAGTATAAGCTGCTAGATGACAGAGTGATAGGTGAGCCACCCTGCATTCCTGCAGTTCCTGTCTCCAAATCGTCGTCGTCTCCCAAACTCTGAAAGTGACCAAAGCCAAACTCTCATGGACCAGACCTAAATTAACCAACCTTAGCCTGCACGATCACCATTATTACGGAGAGAGATTATCATGTTACTGCAGTAGATTATCAGTTGTCTCCTTTAATTTCTCCGGTTGCACTACGCTCAGTTCAGCTAGCTGAATGGATGCATTGTCAGGTTTTTTCTGAATACTTACTTATTTTGTAATGAATTAACTATTATAACGTTAGAAAACACTCTTAAAGAGAAAATAGTTTTTATAAATTCATAAACATAATTTTTTTTAAGAAAAATACATCCTTAAAACTTAGAAGCTAGGGAAATGTGTCACATTAATCCATTCTTCCGTTCCTTGCAAAGAACATGTAACACATATGTTCTTCTTTACTTAGAATATTAGAAACATACGTGCATAAATATAGGAATGGAAGGAAAGGCAGATTTTTTTTTCTTATTCGAAGCCTCCATTGTTCTCCCAATTATGAGGCTGCCAAGTTAGGTTTTGAAATTTGTTTCTTTCTCCAACTTGATTAATCATCCTAACTGCAATTAGCTCTTAACTTCCATGCATGAGCAAAAGGGAGAGGCCTCCAACCACACGCATAACTGCTCGTGGACAATAATACACAAATGGTCATAATCTCCAATTAAGCTAGATACCCATGCCTACCAATTGCTTAAGATGATCACTTTGCTGAATAATGACAGGTTGGAGAGGAAGAACAAATGCTGAATTATTATTAGTTAGTTCATTAACTTACCAATTACCATCCAGCAAGACAGGACTAAACCAACGCGTAGGTGGAGATCGAACAAATATTCCTCAACTACTTCTTGTCCATGATCAAATGATCACCAGCTAGCTCGACTGAAGATCACGATTTCATCTAAAAAAACTGAATAGTTTATGAATTGTTGTAACTTAGAGTAGACGTGTACAGGGCAGAAGTTAGTTCTTTGGACAAAATCACATGGGCTCATCGAGATTGACCTCTCTTGAGAAGAAAAAAGGAAGAAAGAGATTGGAAAGAGTAGTGAGAGTCGGCCTGGCTGACAGGGAGAGCTGCGCTGTCTGAATCCCAGCACATTCTTCCCTCTTTCCATCTCAAAGACTAATTAACACGCATTCTGATTTGTTTTTGACTGGATGATTATTTAGTTGTTTAATGACCGTTTGGTTCCTGTATGTTTTCTCGGCGCTGAATAACCGAATGATTTCGAGGGTATTAACAAATGAATTTATTATTTTAAAATTGAAATTTATTTTCTCAGAAATTCATATATATAATTTTTTTTACATAAATTATAAATTTAGAAGTCCAAAAAGCTTGTGTATTTAGCTCTCGAGGATATTAACGATGAATTAATTCTTTTTTTAATAATGAAAATGGATTACATCTCCTGTTTCTGTCATAAGACACACAGCTATAAGTTTATAAGTTTAATAATATTAAAAAGGTAAGGTAAAAGTAAATCAAAATGAGAAATAAGGTGATGGGACAAACGATGAATTAATTCTTATAATATTTAAATTTGTTTTCTTAGAAAATCATATACACAAAGTTTTTTTACAGAAATTATAACACTTAGAAGTCTGAAAAATGTGTGTATTTAGTTGTCCAATAATTTTGTTAAGCAGAAAAGAACACACCCAATTCACATCCATGGCTATGCTTATGCCTTATCAGAGTTCTTGTATGTGACTAGTAACTTTTTCATGGTAAAACTCACAGCAATCATGCATGTCTACAGTGAATTTTGAAAGTGTTGAGGGGTTCAGTAATTCAGTTCCTGTCTCCATGTGAAGTGATTCCACAAAAATGTACCGTCGATGCGTTGATGACAATTGCTGGTAGCTGACAGGTGGGCCCCAAGCAGTCCTGCACCTGTCCTACTACGTGGCAACCGCACACAGAATCTGAGTACTTGAAGGACGAAGGACATGCAAATTCATCTCCCATCTTGTTTACAAGAGGTTAATCCATACTCCTACATGCTTTCACCTTTTTACAGTTCTAATCAAGACATTGAAAGTTCTTGAGCTCGATCAGAAATTCAGAATTCATCAGAATTTTGCAGATGCCTGGTCCAGACTGGTCATCCTGCTTGTCAAATACTCCTACTTTTTGATGCTAAGCTTCTCTGCTTCAGATTCCTGCACACATTTGCAACAAACACAACACTTGTGTGGCTAATTGCACCATTAGAGAAATCAGCAACTTTTGTTGCTTTTTGAGTAGGTTCCATGTTCCAATCCCAACAAACTCAGAAATGGCCTCTTCTCCTTCCAGCTCAAAGTCTTTTTCCTTTGGCTTCAAGAGAGCTGAGAGAGGAATAGAATTATGTGGTTGTATTAAAAGAGAGCAAAAGCTGCAGCTCACCTAATATTCTTCATCCTGGAAGTCTGAATAATTTTCTTTCTGGTAAATGCCAATCCAATCAATTAGTTAATTGCCAAAAAATCTTTTGTATAAAACTGATGAAATATACCACTGATGACAATTTGGTGAATGACAGAGGTAGTGATTTTATAATTGCATTGGAGAACTTGTGATTCAGTTAAAAAAATCGGAGGCTCTGAATTTATGACAGTTTGGCCATGCTAGTTGTTCTTGGCTGCTAGCTTCTGAATCTGTGAGAGCTATGCTTCATCACTGCGGAATCCTCAAAACCAGCCAAAGATCCAGCAGCTGGTGGTAGTCCTGCAGTCCATTTCCAACCAAGTTGAGAAGTTGTAATCAGCAGCTCTGACCATAACACTAGTACTTTTCATCACTGGTCATACACTAAAACCATCATTAAACTTACTTGAAAACACTATTTGCTCTCCTAATGGAACACAGTACCACAACAATAATAAAATGTGTAGGTGCAGCCCCACCCCAATGGCCACCAGATCCATCACTAGAGAATTGGAGAAACAATAAATTATTAGTACTATTCCATATACTACATTTTCTTCTTACTACCATTTCAATTCAACCATGAATGAAAAATGTGAAAATTTTTGTGTCGGTGAGGTGTGTGATTTAGCAGGAGAGAGAGAGAGAGAGATTTGGTTGATTTGTTTGCAAGAAAGAAAAGCAAAAAAATTGTGGGGTGTTGTGGCCGTTGATGGACAGGCAAGTTTCACCACACTCCTCCCGCCTTCTTTAAACCCTCCTCACCAACCATCTCATCTCTCTCACCATTTCATTTTATTTTTCATTTTTCACCACAAATTTTTCACCATTCCAAGCACCACAAAAACCTTGTTCCTCCTCCTCATCTCTCTCCATTTCTCCCCATATCTTGATTGAGCTTGTTGAGATTCCCCATGCACATTCCTCCCTCCATTTCCACCACCACCCCAAATCTTGTTGGGTGATCTATCTATCTATCATCTTCTTGTAGGAGTACTAGTGGAGTTTGTTGATCTTCACCCCCACCACCATTAATGGCTGCAAAGCTTCACTAGAGGAGGAGGACTAGTAGTATACCATCTTCTTCTTCTTCTAGCTTGATCTGGTGCTCCATTGGTGGTGTTGGTGCATCTTGATCTGGGATTCTGGGGAGAGGTTGAGTGAATCTTTGGGCCTCCATGGGGACGGCGGCGGTGGCGGCGGCGGAGAGGCCGAAGCAGCGGCGGAGCAGCCACCTGTGGAAGAAGGCGCTGCTCCACTTCTCCCTCTGCTTCGTCATGGGCTTCTTCACCGGCTTCGCGCCCTCGTCGTCGTCGTCGTGGCGGGCCGGGAGCGGTGGCGGTGGCGGTGTCCAGCCGCGCCACCAGCTCGCGGCGTCCCACGTCGCGGTGAACCAGCAGGTGAGCCTGGTGCCGGATGCGGCGGCGGCGGAGGCGGCCGGGGTCGGGAACGGCGCGGTGGTGGACGTGGGCGACGACGAGGGGGGCGAGGGGGCGAGGCGGATGCTGATAGTGGTGACGACGACGCGGGGGGAGCGGCGGCGGCGGCGCGGCGAGCTGCTGCGGCTGGCGCACACGCTGAGGCTGGTGAGGCCGCCGGTGGTGTGGGTGGTGGTGGAGCCCGCGGCGGACGCGGCGGCGACGGCGGAGGTGCTGCGCGGCACGGGGGTGATGTACCGGCACCTCGCGTTCCGGCCCGAGGAGAACTTCACCACCGCCGACGCCGAGGCGCACGCGCAGCGCAACGCCGCGCTCGCCCACGTCGAGAAGCACCGCCTCTCCGGCGTCGTCCACTTCGCCGACGCCGCCGGCGTCTACGACGCCCATTTCTTCGACGAGATCCGCCAGATCGAGTCAGTACATCCATCCATCCATCCCATTTGGTTTCTCACTTTTCTTTTTTCTTGCTTGATTACTAGGAGTATACTTTCTTCGTTTATAGATTGCAAATTGGAATGTGTGCTAATCCGAATGCTTCTTGATTGATTCTTCCATGTTGATTTCTAACCTCAAAGGTTGAACCTCTCACAATTTTTGCTTGATTATTAGGAGTGCTCTTTCATTTTAGGTTGCAAATTGTGGAATGTGCTAATCCGAATGCTTCTTGGTTGATTCTTCCTGTTGATTTCTAACCTAATTGTTTTTTTCTAAGTTTTTCAATTCAATTTGAGTTCTTTTCGATCCCCATTTCTTCCATGTCCATGCTGTTCTTCAGGGAGTTGAATCTAGGAAAGAAAACCTTCAAATTCAATCCATCTAGGTCATACGTTTTAGATTTTTTTTTCCTTTTCAGATGTCCACCACCTACTAGGGCTTCTCTTAACTAATCACCACTTCTTAATTTGGTAAATTTACTCAAGCCAATAAAATTTTAGTAGCCGTGTGGTTCGTTGGGGGAAGTATCATTAAAGGCACAAGCTGTCATTAGTGGAGGAGAATTAGAGTAGGTTAGTGTGTGTTGTACCTATATGCTTTTATCATCATCTTGTGCACAATACTCTGATGTGAGCCAGGGAGTCAATTATTGGATCTAGCTTTACACCTTATTTATTCCATTTCTCCCAACAAACTAGTATGCATCTATGCTTCTTTTGAAGATTGAAGATCTCTTGCTTTTGCTCACCCCCAACAACCAAATATGTTGCAACCACTCCAATTAGTTTAATTAAGACCTTCAACGTGCCTGTGGCTCATGAGCCATGAGCAAAGCAAAAAACTATTAAAAATGTGCAAAAATGATTAGTTAACAGTGCTTGCAGTACAACTAGCTGTTTGCCCACCGACGTGTGGGCCCATCCCTGTGCAACCTAATGTTAGAAAATGCATGGTGAATCACACATCACTCTCCCTATAGCATGAACTGAATGTTGCATTTCTGGTGCTCCCCAAAGTGGGTAGCAAAATGCAGGAAGAAATTTGCTTGAACACAATTTTGGCAGAAAATAGTAACCTTATGTTAGGCCATGACCATTGAACTCCCAATAAAAGGAGGCCCCATCCCCACCATCTGTTGCTTTCTATGGCCTTGAATGGCCATTTCATATGCAGAACGAGATCTGCCCACCGTTTCGGTGTAGAGTTTTCCGGAATGGCGTCTAGTTGCCGTCTTGGATTCGGTTGGAGTCGGCAGAATGGTTGGTCATCGAGATTGTGCTTGATGATTTTTCTTGTTCATACTTGAATAATTGCAAAGAAGGAAAAAACAGCAACATTTTTTGGCTGGCAGTTTGATGTTGAACATTGTTTTCCTTCCATGTTAGCTGTACTCCAGTATTGTGATCTTGCAGCCAGAGAATACTACTATCATGTCCAATTCTGTTTGCTCTGAGCCTCTCAAATCCAGGTCAAATCTTTCTTCTATTTTCAATTAGACCTGATTCAACAACTGGCGGAAATGCCTGACGTTTCACCTTGCCTCTTATCTTTTTCCTATCCAGCTAAAATATGCTAAAAATTGCTGTTAGTCCTATAATGTGATCCTCACCTTATCATCATTTCTTCCAAACTAGAAATGCATGGCTCTGAAACATTTGACTTGCCTTTTGCCTTTACTTTTTCAATAGCAACATCCAAACTTTGATGAGTAGTACTACTACATCCGTCCCATATTACTTGTCGCTTTGAGATTTTGTTTGTAATATTTGATCATTCGTCTTATTCAAACACATTTGGAATTATTATTTATTTTGTTTGTGACTTGTTTTATTATCAAATGTCCTTTAAGTATGATTTATTCTTTTCTATATTTGCACTTATTTTTTAAATAAAACGAATGGTCAAACGTTACAAGAAAAAAGTCAAAGCGACAAGTAATATGGGACGGAGGTAGTACCACGTTCAGTACTTGCCTTGATAAAGAAAAGATGTGTACACTTTGTTCAGTACTATGGTACTACCACTACTGCTCATATCATGTGAGTGAATAGTGGTAATATTCCCAGGAAGAACATAGCTTTTGTGTTGAGGGGAACATGTTGAGATTAAAGCGCTCCTCTTTTTTCCAACCAAACTTTTGTGCATCACTTCATCAACCCATAGTGCTTAGTGCGCGCACATCAGCAACAAATGTGGCGCTTGGGCGTCAACCAAGCACATCCCAGAGCTACTAGCATCGTCACATTGCATATATTCTTCGTTGCCTTGTTAACAGTTCGATACGACCTGGGATGTGTCACAGAATTTACCGCTTAATACAAATGAGGAAGTGCAAGTGTGCAATACTGTGTTCTCACCACACTCCGCGCACATTTTGGGGCATGGGTTTTGACCGTGGTTACCATACCTGTTTACTTGGAATTAGAGTTCGAGAGTTCTTTTAACTTGAGAAGCTAGAATTTGTGTACTGTTTATCCAAAGAAGCTTCGTTAACCGAGTTGAGTTTGTTAATCATATTGCAGATGACCTGAATACATGCTCAATAAAGTTTTGCATCCATGTTAACGGTCGCCTCGTCCCATAGCTTGTTCTGTCTAGTTTTTTTAGCCCTTTCAAACTTTGGAATTTGAATCCATTTAATTCAATATTTGTCACTTGTCCGCATGTATGGGCAAGTGGTGGATTTTAGTCTATTCCCACGTATGTTGAGGCAGTTGCATGCATGCAATAACTCACCTTGTGTTGTGTTCCATGCCTAGTGTCTAGTGATGGAGATGGGTGACAAAAAAAATTAGCATAATAGTAGTACTAGATTTTATGATGGAATGAAGCATGTGGAAGATATTTCAATGGAGTTATGGTGACATATTCTCCTTAAAATATCTCAGTTTGAGTGAAGCCTCTTATTTTCAAATCAAACCCAATTAACCCATGTGTGCTTAGTGTCGGTGGATGCTAATTCTAGTCAACTGGCACTGTACTCTGTCTAAGAAAGATGAGATTGATGTCATCACAAATAATTCATGCATTTCATCTTTGCTGGTGCATATTTGTGTAATTCTTACTTAACTATATGCTACTACGGTATATGTATGTTCTATTCTCTAACTGTTAACATGTACAGGGCATTTGGCACATGGCCAGTGGCAACAATGTCGGCAGGCGAGAAGAAAGTGGTAGTCGAGGGCCCGCTATGCAGTGACTCCAAGGTTGTCGGTTGGTTCTCGAGGGACTTCAATGATGGGACCACCCGTGCAGTGACATATAACACAGAGGCGGACTTGAATCCTGCTGGTGCTGCTGGCACGCGAGCTCACACGATTGACGTCTCAGGGTTTGCGTTCAACAGTTCTATTTTGTGGGATCCCGAGCGTTGGGGCAGGCCGACGTCATTACCAGACACTTCACAGGTTAGTTCATCTCCAATCTTGTTGTCAAATTGATCAAGCTACACTGCATTTTAGTAATAGCATCACACATTCTGCAACACTTAATTGGACTATAGCACTAAACGTAATAAATAGTATGCAAATTGAGGAAGATTTGATTGGATCTGAGATCACAATAGTTTTAGGCTGTCCACATCATGATAGCCAAATAGTGAACCTCCTAAAACAGAGGACCCATAATTGAAAAAACCGTGTATTTGGAAGTTTGAAAGGAGAAGGATCGTATAACTAAACACTTATACTTGCAGAACAGTAACAGATTTCCCCAGAGCTGAAAATCAACAGCAGATTTGATTTCTTCTAAAAAACATGTGATGGTCAAATTTTCAGAGCTGTTAGGAAATTTTAGTTTGAATAGATTCATTAATTTTGGTTCTTACCTTGAGGGGAGGGAATATCATACTTTCTGAAACCCAAGATCTTTCTTACAGACAAACTTATGTAGAAAAGACTCTCCCACTAAACAACTTAAATAGATATATTAATTTAGGTTCTTACCTTTTGGAAGTTGCGCATTTCATAACAAAAACTGAGTTCATTCTTCCTATTGATAAAAGGACATTTATAATTCGGAAAAGATGAATTATCTGACCGGCTGATTTCATTATAAATTATTTCGTAATCATACAGATTTTTCTGAGTTGATTTGACCGCCCTAGTGTTACGCAATTATCGACTTCACTTTCTATGGAACATGGTGTGCAACAGTTGGCAATCAGATGCTCCACCATCACTTTCATGCATTCTTTTCTTAAACTTCAGATTTTTATCTTGTTCAAGTCACCTACTGACCTACTGGTCACATCCTTGAGCTGCATCCCACCAGTGATACTGATTACTGAAAGCTACATTGCCATTAAACCATAACATATCTACACCGACTGCTGATTATAACAAGATAATCGAGCCCTTCGATTACTCATCGAACTTCTTGCCCTCCAGTTGAATTACGCTACAGGCTAGTTGCACCAGAAAGATCCTAATTCGTAACCACATCAAGTTTGCTACAATCCTAGACTTGCAAGGAATGTGTATTGATACAAAACTTGTGAGCTTCATTCTGAATTATGAGCTGATGCTGATGGTATTATACTTTTCTTGCACTTCTCATAAGCCAGAAACAGTTCTTTGAAGGAGACATTCGGAATAATAATTTGCTTACCATTCCCGCATCAATGCAACCAAAGTTAAATCTTCCTTCTCCCAAATAATAATGGATATACTTTTCTTGATGTGATTGCAGGATTCCATCAAGTTTGTGCAAGAGGTTGTATTGGAAGACAGGACCAAGCTAAAGGGGATTCCCTCAGATTGCTCCCAAATCATGGTTTGGCAATATACTATGCCCATGCAAGTTCATGCCCAAACCTCTACTCCAAAAACTCACAATAGAAGGTAGGGAGAGAACAAGCAAGAGGATTCTCCAGAAAGGGAAAAAAGTGGGAAGTTGATGTAAATGTGGTGAAAACAAAAGAAAAGGAAGAAGGTTGTTTACACTGAGTTTTTTTCCCTTTCTTTTTCTCTCATTTTTGTTTTCTTTTTAGTTTGGGGGGCCATGAATTGTCTGCGGAAAATCTCCCCCCAAGCAATAGTATTTATTCAGATTCACTTGTGATTCTTTAACTCTGCTCCTCTCATCTTCATCTCATCTCATCTCCTGGGTAATCTTTTGTGAGGGGGATGTTGCTTCAAACAAATTCCCCTTGTGGATTGCAATAATACACTGTAGAAATGTGGGTGAAAATTTGGCAATGCCATGAGAATTCAGAAGATTAAGGCCTTCTCAGAAAGAAAAAAAAAGAGCACATAATCTCCTTGCTGTATATTCTGACATTGTTTTCACTCTTATTCTGGCATTGTAAAAGCAGAATTAAGGTTGGTGATTACTGTCTCGGATACTACTTACTGCTTTCGTCATAAAATAAATAATTCTAGTACGTGAATGTTCATTGTGTCACTGCCCATACTAGTACTAGTACTGGTGGTAGCAACAGCCAGGTTCAGACATCGGGGACAAAGCCTGAAAAAATATGGGGAATTTGGGTGTGTGATCTGCAGCAAGAGTGCAGCTGCAGATTGGCAGATTGCTCGTGCAAGTTTTACAGCGACAAACTTTTCATGTGTCGGGCCGGCATGGCAGATGCGCGCATCGAGATTCACGTCTCCTCGTACTCTTATTTTCTTTCTTTCTTTCTTTCTTCTCCTCGTCCTCTGAAGTCCAAATTGTGATGGAATCAGATTTGGGCAAATTATGAGCATCCAAATCAATTACGAGCACCAATATCTGGACTGAATTTCATTTTTGGAAAAAAAAACACTAGATCAATGTTGGTGTACCCTTTTTGGCCCACGCCAGTACGTGCACATGGAGATGGTCCCTTTCCCTGTAAAGCCATATAAGCCCATACAAACTGTTTAGGCCCACACGACCAAACTTTTTTTTTTCTTGCTTGTTTTTGTTAACCGATCCAACGGTCTGATGGGCCACCAAAGAAGGAGATATCCTACTATGGTAAGGTGATTACAACGGTAACCGCTAAAAACAGTATGAATTGTATCTCTATGCTACCTTAAAAGTTGAGTAGTTTTTCTTTCGCCTCCGTCTCCCACCACGTTCTCAGCATGTGCCCACACGCATAGCTTATGTACGTAACCACTTGTATGTAACCACTGAATCTAATGTTTTATTCTGTAATCATAGTTATATTGGTTTGCTCCGTTTTATAAAGTAGGGGTATGTTACTATCTTTGAAAAATAAAATCTAGAATTTCCAAATCTTATGGTAACTCGCGGTTACCATGTAGTAAGCTTGCACGGTAAGTTGTGGTAACCGTGGTCTTTGACTTAAAAAAAAGGGGAAAATCACATGAAACAAAAATAAAACCATAACACCACATTAGAAAACAACAGACATACCATAATATTGTAATATCCACAACTACTATGATTATAGCTCCAGAATATATCACCCACGAGCATCAGACCTTCATTTCGAAGTAACACCACCATTTAGTCATGCAAAAATAGAGTTAGCTTAGCATATATTTTCTCTATAAATTTTATCACCAGACATCATTACAAATTGTTTGGGGGATTATTTCCCTTTTCTTTTCTTAAAATTTGAATTCGAACAAATTTTACCAAACCTTATCACCGGTAACCCTTTCCGTTCCCCCACTGCCCATAGAAAAGCATGGCTAACGGTGGTTTGGAAAATCTAGTTGGTGCATTGTGCTTATTTTTAAGGTTGATGTGGAAACTGAAACTTACATCGCTGCATTTGATTTTACAAATCGAATTATAGTTAAATAAAATATATTATCCAACTTTCATGTCTCCCCCTATTGTTTCATAATTTCAGCCCATGATGATACTGTTGTTTGCAACACAGATTATAAGAAACAAAAGTTCACCAAACAACCAAACTGTCGAAAAGCTGTTATAACAAACGAGATTATCATAAATCCACCAAAATGCCAAACGGAGCATAAGTGAGAGGTAAAATTTTGATCTTTTTTTTTTCCTTTTGTGGGGAGTTTTTTTGGGAAGCAAGGTAGTTATTTTTGCGATTAAGGTAATTAAATTTGATTATAATGTATTACTCTAATAGAGAAAAGGTACAGGAAACTAGGAACAATATGTTTGTGTTAAAAACCTGTTAATGCTAAGGAATTTGTTAAGAGACACAAAAAGGAACGATTAAAGAGTTATTCACGACAAAAGAAAGTTTTTTATTTATGTATGCATATACACTGTTTCACTGTATGTAGGCAGGCACAAGCAGATCGAGTTGTATTTATTTTGTGGTCCAAAAAAGAGTTAGTACAGCGCCAAAAGAATTCAATAAATTCACGAGTACGTACGTACGATCTGTACCATAGTTTTGCATGTAATTTATAAATGCTACCGATAGACGTGCCCCTGGATGTGAAAAATTTTCAGTTTTTTTGAATAAAGAAAACATCACTATGTGAAAAATATCACTAATGTGTGCGTATATATATATTTAGTACATCATCTGTGGAATACTCGTGAGCCCCATACATGCATCCACCTCACTGTTCTTGAATGTGATATTTATGTTTGCATGACACTTCACTTCGTTCCTGTTTATTTTTCAGTTTTTTACAACACTGTTTTACATTAATTCTACATTTTTTTCTGGAATATATAGTATGTTATTTATCATGCACATTTTATATATCTTTTAGATATGCGAATGATTTACATCTCTGATCTTGCTAAAAGAGACATGGCCAATAAATCTAAAAATATAAATAAAATAATTTTATGGGACAAAACTCTATCTCCTTTCTAATGATATTTAACTAAAATACCGAATAAAAAACACAAAAATTCCACAACGATAATCATAGGAATTATGCTAATAATTAAAGTGGAATAAAAGATCCTGATTACATTCACATTTTATATACAAAGATGAAAAATATAAACTGAGGCTGTGTTTAGTTCCTGAAAAAAGTTGGAAGTTTGAAGAAAGTTGGCAGTTTGGAAAAAAATTGAAAGTTTATGTGTGTAGGAAAGTTTTTGATGTGATATGATGTGATGGAAAGTTGAGAATAGGGGGGAAAATAAACACGGCCTGACCTGTTTATGTGGTGTTTGGATCCAGGGACTTAACTTTAGTCCCTGTATTTAGACACTAATTTATAGTATTAAATATAGACTACTTATAAAACTAATTACATAAATGAAAGCTAATTCACGAGACAATTTTTTTAAGCCTAGTTAATCCATAATTAGAGAATGTTTACTGTAGCATCACATAGGCTAATCATGGATTAATTAGGCTCAATAGATTCGTCTCGCGAATTAGTCCAAGATTATGGATGGGTTTTATTAATAGTCCACGTTTAATATTTATAATTAATTTTCAAACATTCGATGTGATAGGGACTTAAAAGTTTTAGTCCCATCTAAACAGGGTATTAGCAGCACTCAAATAAGAGATCAAGAGATTCAGAGAGAGAACTCAAGAAATGTGTCATGATCGAATATGCTTCATATATGCCTCCAAGACACCTGAACATTAAGGAAACTTGTCGTTAATGCAGACAAACACTGAAACACACGGACACTGACACAAGCAAGCGAAGATCGATCCAACAAGTACTTCCAACGACCGACACTTGTTCCGACGATCGATATATCCATTTCTTCTGTTCATCATCGATCAGCCAGTGATGATGAGGTCGACAGCATTAGGATACTTTGTGCCTTTCGTTCTTCAGATTTCAAAAAGATTAAAAAAGAAAAGAAAAAGCTCTGCTTAGCTTTCATCTGCAGTGAGAGATCACATAGAGAGAGAGAGGGGAAAATTTAAGGCAAGTTGATTAATTAAAGAGGAGAAACTTAAAAAAGAAGAAGAAAGAAAGAAAGAAAAGAGAAGACCCAATGCAAAGCAGCAACCACCTTGAGAGAGATGATGATGGATAGGTATGCATCATCCTTTTCCAAAGCAGAAAACGCCCTCCTACCTATCCATCCATATATATCTTTGATCGATCATTTGGGTCTTGAAAGCATGATTAAGTGTAATTAATTATCACCCCATCAATCTGTCTGGATAAATTTACATGAACCATCTTTAATTGTAATGCATATTAACTTGGATGAAACATGCATGGAAAAGGTTGAGCCTAGTCTATCCAGTTTGGCAGAAATTTAATCCAATTTCTTTGTCAAGTAACCTGAAGGGCTGAAAGTAGTGTGCCTTCACCTAATCTAAAGGGATTAATTGGCTTACCTCTTGGAATGTACCAAAAGCAGTTAATGAGTTAATTAATCAATTGTTCTTTGATTCACCTATTTATGACTATTAATATCAAAAATCAAATTATGAATTCTTTGATCATTGTATAAAAAGTTTTAACCATATAAGTTAAATATTTTTTATTTTGCTACAGTAGAAAGTCAAATTGATTAAAGGCATGGTTCTGTAAAATTATAGGACAACAATAAATGGGATTATGTATCATTTCCAAAACCCCTCATACAACCATCATACCATAATTCCCTGTACCTGAAATTTACTCTTTATTAATTAACAACATAGCAGACGAATTTCTCATCACCCACTAATTAAACCAGTACAGCTAACTTTAATTCAGTGATCATGCATGAACAACATACTCAACATATGGTACTGGGGCATATTTGCAAGCTAGTGGCGCACAATAATATGCTCAAGTAGCATATATGCATCATTGGAGGCAAATGGTACGTGCTTGTAGCTATCCAGTGCAAACTCTACACTACACTGCTCTGTGATAAATTACTTCCAGCTAATCTTAAAAGCGACTCTGATACTATGATTAAAGAAGAGATGCACATAAGAATAGTGTGTGTATGATCGATGCAGCTTAATCGCTCGTTAGGCTGTCGCTTTGCAACTCGTGACATTATTTAATCTCTGATGGGAAACACAATGAAAGGATGGCTCTCACTTGCACTATATATATACTACTATATAATTGCATATATATGTGTGTGTATCATTAGTGTTTGTTTGACCATGATTACTGGTGCTTGACATGTAATGTGTCAGACAGTTTTAAAAAATTTCGGTTCTAGTTAACTATATCTAATTACAGGGCCTTCGTACAAAAAAGGGTATTTATATGGCTGAGATAACAGGACAAACACTCAGGTTGAAGATATATTTCACCCCACATGCATGTACTTTTTATCTAGTTTTAAGATATTTTGACCTTGATAGTTGTTTAATTTAAAATTTGGAATGCATGCATGGTTGCCACTGTAACTTGGTTAGGAACATGTACATGTGACATTTTGCATTTTTTTTGTTTTTATATTTTGCAGGAGCTAGTGAAAAGAAAGAATTGTATGAAATGAAATTTGCCATGCAAGAAACATATCTGTACCTAGAGAAGTATAAATTTGATGTGTCCCTGGAGAGAAATTTGTGATAAGATTGAATGAATATTTTAATTATTGAAGCTTGCCAGCACAACAGACATGCATATGGGAGCCGACTATAAACAAGAAAGAGAAATATAAACAGTTATGATGAGTTGGCACATTGTTTGCAACATGATCCATCAAATAATTTCCTGCCACCTTGCATATAGAGAATGATATGATTTATTTTGTTCATTAGCATAATCATACAATAACTTTTCTTTATTTTTCATTTTTTTAGGCCACCTTTGCAATACTATACATATATGCTAGTTTGCTGTCCTTTCACACTGAACTAAAAATCATCCTCTATAATTTGTTTGCTCCTAGTGTATATATATTGTAAAATTGTACACAACATAGATGCAGGATTTATTGGCTGTCACAGCTTAATAAGTAGGATCATATCTATAACTGATTAATGCTGACACAACTTTTTTGTTAGCTGATGAAGCACTCAATAGAGTAACTTATGACTGAAGGCAAGTCTCCACTAACTATGCTGAGTGCTATGGCCATTCAGACAAGCAGGGTCCTGATGAAGGCCCGGCCTTGCAAGTTGCAACTAATCTCCTCTCCTAATCCCAACAGGCAATCACTCATATGCTTGTGGGGTTGTGTCATCATAATTCAGAGTTCAGATAATCACTGTTAGTTACAACTTCAGTGTTTTGGATGATCACTTGCAGTTTGTTATGACTAGTAGTGCTACATATCTTCAGTGCTACATCCACCTGATCCTATCAAGCCTTAAGAATACATAAATACACATAAGCACACAAGTCCAAAATAAATCATACTATGAGTAATTGGATGCCTTCAAGAAAATATTTCTATATTAGCAGTGTATTATATATAATGGAGATTCCAGTTGTATTATTATTTCACACTTTTCTGTCTCCAAGCTGTCCACAGTCCTCTTCCCACTGATGAGAGAGAGTTGCAAGAATTTGCAAGAAGCACCAAGAAAGTGTACCCAAAGAAGCATCTTCAGCTGCTCTCACCAGTCACCACTCCCATCCAAGAGATCCCAGCCTCTACTACAACAGCTTCCAACTTCCAAGAACCCATTTTTTTCCTTTCCTCCTCCTCCTCCTGCTCTGGCTGGCTCTGGGCTGGCCGTGCCCTCCTGTCAGTCCTAGCTCCAGCTAGAATCCCTCCTTGTTCATCCACCACCACCATCCACATGATTGCATTTGTGCAGATTCCTGGAGAATTAAGCTGTCCTCTCATGCCGATCTGACACACCTTGTTGTTGTTGTTGCTGCTGGTTGCCGCACAACCGAAAGGGGGGATTATTTGGCCCTCTTTCTCTTTCCTTTCGCAGGAAGATTTGGTGATTCTTCTTCTGAGGGCTCCTCTGTATGTGCTCTTTCCCATCCCATTGTGCCATTTTTTGTAGGATAGATCTGGGGATGTTGCAGATCTGATCGGTAATTTTCTTTGGTTTTCTTCAGAAGGATTTGGGAGGATGGGGAAGAAGGGGAAGTGGTTTGGAGCTGTCAAGAAGGTGTTCAGCCCTGAATCCAAGGAGAAGAAGGAGGAGGTAAATGATTCTTGGGGTTCGTTTGAATAGGCCCTTTTGTTTCGAATTTAGAAAGTTCAATCTGGATTCGATCAGGATTTGTAGTTTTCCGTCTGAATTGCAAACAATTCTGTTTTTCAGTGAGGTCTCAATTGTGTTGTGATAAAAGTTTCAATTTTTTCTTGTTCCAATTAGCGATGAGCACATTGGTTCTAGTTTTGGACCTGGTTGATATCAAAATCTCACTTTTATTGTTACTGCTTTAAGGGAGGCGCTCTTTTGGTGACCATTGCACATAATTTCAAAATCCCAAGGAATTTTCACCCATGTCATGGTTTCAATTGGCATTCTTTAATTGCCATTCAGTAATTTGAGAAGAATACATAACATATTTCCTCTTGAAATTGATTGTCTTCACTGATTTATATGACCAAATTATCATATTATCTTCCGCAATTACTATGTCTTACTCCAATTTGAGCTGAACTGCAACCACAACTCAAACTTTGTCCATTGAAATGAACAGAGACTGAGGAGAAAATTAGCAGCTAGTAACCCGAACCCGCCAGATCTAACCCCTTCGGCTTCTCTGGAAGTCAATGTTTCGGTGCCACCCCCTCCACCTCCTCCACCTGTTCAACAGATTGAAGAGGTTAAGGTCCCTGAAGTTGAGCAGGAGCAAAGCAAACATGTCACTGTGGAGGCTGTACCTGAGGCTGTCCCCGTACCCGCACAGACATCGTCATTGCCACCTGGTGTATCAAGGGAAGAGCAAGCTACAATCAAGATCCAGACCGCCTTCCGAGGTTACCTGGTAATGTGAAATAGCTCTTGAATTCAGCTATCTGATTGCATTTTCATTACATTTTACTCAGTTGTCTGAGAATTCGTCGTGGCTATTTATTTCATCAGCTGCTTTCATTTACCACTGTGTTGGTGCAAATATTACAAAGGTGGTTGTGTTGAGTTTTTTATTTATGCTGGCTGCTGATTAGGTCATTGCAATTTGAGGTTAGACGCTAAAAGAACAGTTCTTGTATAGTTTTGTGATTTTGTCTCCTCATCAACATGACTGCACATGAAAGCAAATGTCTGCTGGTGGCCAACTGGCCATCCTGAGATTTTTTTTCTCTTTTCCTGTAGAAATTTTAGGTATTGGCAGCTCACCAATCAATCAACCGGTAGTTGGCTGGTTGCTGTTAATTTGAAGTGAGACTCTTGATTGAAGTATCTTAGGTATTTACAGTTCCTGTATTCTTTTCATAATGTTGTGTGGTAAAAACAAGCTTCTATGATTCAGGGGTAAACTTTTCTTGTGTGACCTGTGCACCTGGGGTAACTTCAAACTTATAGTTTGGTTCCTCTCCTTTGAAGTAGTCGTTTTGTTGTTTATTTGTTTCTGCATATGTTTGTTGACATGATCTACGAAAAAATCTTGGCAAGTATTAGAAATTAGTTCTTGATCAACTGGCAGTTGGTGGAAGCCACCTTTCATTACTAATTTTGATTCTTAATCATTTTTTGATGTTGATGGATTTGTTGGTCAGGCTTATTGATGCCCCTTGTCCCTTCATACAAAGATAACATTTCTTGAAGTCGACTTAGCAGCAGTATATTCTCTTCCTTGGAAAACATGATAGCAAATTTTAAAACTTGACCTAGCGAGAAGTAAAAATTTTGTTACTTCTATAATATATTGACCATTTCATCGCTGCAATAATGCAGGCAAGGAGGGCATTACGAGCTCTGCGGGGACTTGTCAGATTGAAGTCACTGGTTGAGGGTAACTCGGTTAAGCGTCAAGCTGCAAGCACTCTGCGTTGCATGCAGACTCTAGCACGGGTGCAGTCGCAGATACGTTCAAGGAGGCTGAAAATGTCAGAGGAGAACCAGGCCCTCCAGCGCCAGCTTCTGCTGAAACAGGAGCTGGAGAGTTTGAGGGTAGGCAAACTATCTCAAAACCTTGCAATCTGTCGATAAAATATTTCCTAGGATACTATTATTATTAGTTCTATTGTAAATAAATTTTGCTTGATGAGAACTCTAGTATGCAGTTGTTCTACATCTCTCAGAAAATCATAAAATATCATTGGGAGCATTAAACATACTCTATTTGTGAATCATATCAGATGGGGGAGCAGTGGGATGACAGCACTCAGTCTAAGGAACAAATTGAGGCGAGTCTTATAAGCAGGCAAGAGGCTGCAGTAAGAAGGGAGAGGGCGCTCGCATATGCATTTTCACATCAGGTAGATATCTGTGCTTCTCAATGACAGATGCCAATCTGTACTCTGACTCACTCAACCACACATGCTTAAAATGTTTCGAAACTTCTGTCTTCTGCAGTGGAAGAGCACTTCAAGGTCAGTCAACCCAATGTTTGTAGACCCTAACAACCCACAATGGGGATGGAGCTGGTTGGAACGCTGGATGGCAGCAAAGCCTTGGGAGGGGCGTGCTGGGACCGACAAGGAGAGCAACCTTGACCGTGCATCAGCGAAGAGTGCAAGCTTGAATCTTGGAGAGGGTGAGATCACAAAAGCCTTCAACCGTAGGGGATCCAAGCCAGACAAGTCATCACCAACAACTCCAAAGCTGACCCGTCCAGCCTCCCGTCAATCCCCTTCAACTCCCTCCGCTAAAGTGTCACCGATCTTTGCAAAGAAGAAATCCGCGACACCGAAGAATGGGCTCTCACAGGTTGATGACGACGCGAAGAGTGTGTTCAGTGTCCAGTCTGAACGACCGAGGAGGCACAGTATAGCCACGTCAACCGTGCGTGACGACGAGAGCCTCGCAAGCTCCCCATCTGTGCCAAGCTACATGGCTCCCACAAAATCTGCAAGAGCTAAGTTGCGCCTCCAAGGATCTGCAGTGACCGATGGTGCAGAGACACCACCGGAGAAAGTAGCCTCTGTTGGTTCAGTGAAGAAGAAGCTGTCCTTCCAAGCTGGAATGGCGCCGCCTTCTCCGATGAGGCGGCATTCGGGCCCTCCCAAGGTGGAGGTGGTGAAGGACATTGCTGAGCCACCACAGCCAGAGGCCTTGGTGATCAATGGTGGAAGCAAGTGACTCATATGACAAGTACCAGGAGGGAGCAATGGATTCTGCAGATATATTTCATCCAATGAACAAAGGTTTAAGATTATATATCAGCTGTATGAGTTGCCGGCATTGTTTTTCCAGTTATAACCACATTATTTGCTCTAGCAGATTCGCAAGTACCCTGCCAGTCGATTCCATTTGTTGTTTCTGTAAAACTATATCGATTTGTCACTTGAAACCTTTGGTGTTTGTATGTAAACAAGTCTCTTCTATTTATGTGAGCCACATATTTCTTTTTGTGAAGATCCCTCTGAAGTCTGAACAGTGCAATCGCAGTTTCAGAGTTTGTTGTATTGCACAAACAAAGCATTCCTATCTGTCTAAAGACCATCAGAGAAAAAAAATATTCGGACAAGTGAAAACCTAATGTCACCAGATCAAAGCAAAAAATCACACTATATTAATAATCATAAGAAATTTACATTTGAAGTTAAAATTCCACAATAGCAAATTCCATGAAGTTATCTCATTGTGTACAACAAAAATATTCCTCTTTATAACAACCTGATCAACATCTAAGTTATAATGCTGAAATCTTACATTGATCTACATATCATCATCAAAGAACAAGAAGAACAAATGAAAGAACGAACATAAGGCGCTTCAAATGTTCAAATTCATCGCTACGACTGGTTCTTCAGTCAGGCGTAAAAGAATCTCACTAAACTTTGACCTATAGCAATCTTCAATGCTACATTTGTTTTTTAGTCAGCAACATCTTGATGTGGAAGCATTTATTGGGCAATTATTTGCAAATTTGCAGAAACTGCATTTCCACCTCTCTTCTTCACTCACAAATTTAGGCTCCCGTGCTCCTTGCCAGAAGCTGAGGACTTCCTGAAATTGATCCTTGAGCCACCTAGCATCATAAGAGAACTGGTATTCTTCAAGCAGGGAATTGTCCGCTTGTAGCTCATATCTGCACCAGTTTAGCATGTCATTTGCAAGAGCTCACTACACTAGTGATTAGGCATTCAGTAGTCAGGTACTACAGGTCATGTGCAGGCTGTAAACCTGTAACTCATATTTACCTCAAGAGCAGCTGTTCCTGAGACCGTGGTAGTGTATGGCAGGTGACCTTGAAATATTTCAATACATCTTCTAAGGTCTACAAAGAGAAACCATGTCACAAGTTACAACTCGCAAAGATACTAGAATTATAACTTTGTCAAAAAGTAGCATGAGCATCCTAATTTTAGCAATCACTTGCTGGAATGTTCAGTATAGTATATTAGCACTATACTGCTCATGGAATGGAATGATTTCCCATAAACAGCTGGTAATTCAAATCAGAGTGCCTGTACAGTAACAGGAAACAATTCAAAGTGTAGAAAATTTGAGGCATGGAATTGGCACCTTTGCATTGAGCCCCAACAATCTAATGTATTGCTTGATATCGTCTGATAACAAGTAACCGGGGTCCAGGTCAAAATAGCTGAAGAAATTCTCTGCTGGGAATTTCTCACTGATCAAATTGTCCCATAGATACTTGTAACACATCACCTGAAGCCTGCCACAAAAATATCAACCAGAGAACGATACAAACTTCACAGCTGCAAGCTTGCATCATCATAGAGAGGCAAAACAGTAAAACTAGTAGAGAACTCCACATACTGATACTACTTATCATCTGAATTTTATTCTTAAACAGTAAGGCTCACCAATTTACCTTTTCATTTTTTCTAGATAATGTCCAATTTACCTTTTCATACGAAATAAGATATATCTGTCTCTTAGATGGCGCAATAAATGGGATACCAGTGCTACTCTTTTTTTTTTTTTTGTAAAAGGTGTACTTGCCAAGTATCATCAACTTGGATTAATTTATCCACATACTGAATAATTGACCCCAGAGTTGCTTCCTAACAATACTCACAAGATACTATAATCAGAATGAAAGGATACTACCAGTCTACCATTACAGATCTAGGTACAAGCTAAATTTGTTTGAAAGAAAAATGTTAAGTATTTAAGTGTGCTCTAGCAAAAAATGATCTTTGAAATCTTCTTTGTAACTATGGTGTGATTGTCAATGGCACTGTTAATATACCAATCAAGCATCAAATACAACTTTGTATAATTCCAGATCAAAGCAGAAGTCACTTGAAGGGAATCACCATTCACCATTCATTATTCAAGGGAACACGCATTTGAAGCTAAGCTTAACTATGTACTACTACCTGCCAATAATACTTTTGTGGTGTCTACATTTTGTGATTAAGAGCAAACCTTCCATTTCTTTTTTGTGCTTCTAAGGGAACTGTTGGTTTGTAACGTGTCTTTGTATCCACCAGGATAGGATGGACTGAAATACCATCTGGAGGCATTCGGAGTTCATCAATAACACCTATCATCCATGAACCTTCAACGACCCCAATTCTGCAATGACATGATATAGAATCAATTTTACTGAAAGTAATGTTAACGAAATAAAAATGTTTTCTATCCTCTGTAAATCAACACCGCAGCCAAGATGCACTACTGGTTTGGAGAAGTATACACATAAGAACATGCCAGGTGCTTACACGGGGATTTCCCTAGTGATGCCCTCCAACATTAACTGGTTTGCTCCGACGATAAAGTTCATGAATTTCACTGCCCACGATTCTTCTGCGGATCTAATGGTGACTTCGACTCTCTCGATAACCTGCTCCAAAATGAAGTAAATCAAAACCGAAATAAATCGGTAGTTAGCTCCCATTCCCAAATAAAGGAACAAATGGTTGTCTTCTTCAGAAATTGAGAAAACTCAATATGGCTATGAAGCTCATGATAACATCAAATCAATCATACGCAATCACTAGAAATGTGACTTAATTTCAGATAAGATCCTGCATGGTATAACATCATGATGAACAAAACAATGGCAATCTCAATATGGCATTATCATTTCAGTGCATTTCAAGGTAGAAAAATGTGAAGGCAGCATTCTGCTTGGAAGATCCCAACACTGCAGTGCAGGGCTCACCTCTTGCTCGAGCTGGGCATGGCGCTCGGACCCGGCCTTCATGGCCTGCGTCATCTCCGGCTTGCCGTGCTCCAGCACGAACTCCTGCTGCTTATCGCACCATTCCTGCCACAAGGGCGCACGCCGCCGTCAGAATCACTGAGAATGGAAGAACACAAACACAAGGCGATGCAGCTTTACCGTGGCGGTGATGTCGGTGACGGCGAGCGCGCGGCGGTCGCGGAACCGCGCGAGCAGAGACCCCCTCCGCGGCGTCGGGAGAGGTGGGGAGTCCTCGATGTCGCCGCCGGAGGCGGCCGAGTAGGCCGCGCAGGAGGAGAGCTGGACCGCTCGGCGGGCGGCGGCGGAGGAGAGGACCGGGCGGGATGCTGCCGCGGCGGCGGAGAGCGCGGCCTCGATGAGCGCCATCTCCTCGTCGCTGACGATCTCCACGGGGAGGTCTCCGATCTCACTCGCGGTGGCGGGGGGCGGCGCGTCGGCGGCGGAGGAGCGCATCGGAGTCGGAGGAGGAGATGGGGGTCGGGTCACCAACCACACAAAAATTTTGAAAATTTTGACCACTGACCGTTCAAAATAATCCTCTAAATTCAAATTTAAAATTTAAAATTGACGTCACAGCCATTTAGGCCTAGTACTATACTCCCTCCGTTTCTAAATATTTGACGCTGTTGATTTTTTTAAAATATGTTTGACCGTTCGTGTTATTCAAAAAATTTAAGTAATTATTAATTCTTTTCTTATCATTTGATTTATTGTTATATATATATATAGTTTTGCATATTTCATAAAAGTTTTTGAATAAGACGAACAGTCAATCATGTAGTGAAAAGTTAACGTCAAATATTTAGAAACGGAGGGAATATTAATTAATTGATCACCGCAATCCATTGATCATAATATGAATTTCAGCAACATCTTCTTTTTCTTCAGTCTGCGAAAAACTAACCGACTGAATCTTACCCTCTCTGAATTCTGAAACATGAACGGATCCGAATTTGCAGATATTTCGCTGTGCTCAATCTCTTCATAAGAAGAAATGTGGACCGAATGGCTCAAAGCTTCAATTCCATTGTTCAACACAATGCCCCTGCGTTGTGCCAACTACATGAACAGCTCTGGGTTCTTCCCCATCCAGCAAGCAGCATCAGATATTGTCACTGAGGGTGTTCTTCCACTCCATCTTGCAGTTGAGCATGCCTGTATGCATAAGTACATGTTGAGGATAGTTTAGCTGATGACCACAAGAATCTAGAGCATGACTAAGGTGTACCATATCAACAAGCTCATCCATCTGCTGTGCCTCCTTGAGATGGTTTGTTGCCTGAAATATGACCCTACATTTTCATCAGTTATTGTTATACTTTGGTCAGCACATGACACAATAGTAATGAAGTTTATTCTGTTTTATTATGCCTCAAACCGGTTCTGGAACAAATATTAATTGTTTGCTGAGTGTTAACTTGTGAGATATATATAGTTTTCCTTAGCTCTGCATTTGTGAAAATCTCATTCGGTTGAAACATGTGTCTTGAGGGAAAAATAAAGGGGAAAACCTTTTAGATGCCCAAAAAAAAACTATGAATGTACAGAAAAGTTGCTTTTGTTTCTTCAGTTTTATTTGGATCATGGTTTAATGGGATTCAGAGACCAAATGCAACCATTATAAGTTATAACACTGAAAGATCTTGTGGTGGTGGTTTCTGCAGAAGCTCTTCCTGGATACCATTAGGCTACTTGCAAAGTACACAGAGAAGATTATCTGCAGCAACACTAGGATGCTTCACCTAGTGCATACTGGTGTGATGGTGTCCTCTGATTATCTGTACAAATTTGAAACAAATTTTCAGCAATGTAGTTGTAATTAGGTTTTGATATTCATCACACAACCGGCCTGCAACACAATCTCTCAAGCATATGGAGGAAACATCACATATATTTCTTTTCACAAGCAATACAAATATTGTTCCATGCAGGAATTTGGCTTGCAACATAGTCTGTTCTATCTGTAGAAGAGTATGAGAAGGAATTCGGTTCTGTAACACAATTATTCTATCTGTAGCAAAGTAAGTATATGAGCATTCTGCTAGTTTAAGAAAACATCACTCATAAAGAAGCAAACGTTGATTATATAAATAAATGTAAGTCTGACAAAAAAATTGAGGACAATGATGACAGGTTGGAACAAGTTACATACTGTTGGTTTTTTAATCAAAGCTGATAGTATCCATCATCCGACTGTTACCAAAGATGCAAATTAAGGACAACAATTGATGGACTGACTTGTGGAGGGACATAAATATTCAAACCAAGTGGCTGATAAATAAGATTACAATCTAAAACCATATCAAAGTCAGCCATACATACAAAGAGTAAATTAACCAACTACACTTACTAACAATAAATAGTAGTGGTAGTAATAAGCTTCTTAATTAGCATCAGCTAGCAGTGAGGCTTTGACAATAATATCAATCTTTGATCCCGTTCTTGAAGCCGACGCTGCATACAAGGTACTCTTCAAGAGTGCAGGGGCGTGCAAAGGGCACAATCCTTCCTAGGTGGAAGAGGCTGATATCAACAAGGAGTGGCGCCTTGCGCCCACTTTCGAGGACATGCTCGAGCCGCGGCTCAACAGTCCGGTCCTTGAGGTGGCACAAGCCAAAGCCCACAGCGCAGCAGCTGTTCATCCCAAGATACACCGTGTTGCCAAGGATGGAAGGGAACCTGTCGATAGAGAGCGAGACGCACGCCACATCGCCGACGAACACCGCCCGGTCGTCGGCGATGCCGTCCACGCGTACCAGCTTCTTCCTGACGATGTCCACCTCGAACACCTGCAGTATTCGCCAATTGTACCGGCATGGATTTTTGCTGGGCAGCTTGATCAAGTCGTTCTTCTTCCTTCGCTTGATGCACCTCTGCTCGTGATCTGTGAGGTGGGTGAGGTCGCCGTAATAGCGCACCATGAGCATACGGTGATCGTCGTCGTTGGGCGGCACAAGGTAGGAGACCACGTTGGGGCACAGAACTCGGCCGTGCCACATCGAATGTTTGGTCTGGTCCTTGACGATGGGTATCAGCTGGGGCCTAGGACGAATGCTTAGCTTCAATATGTTACCTTGGTATGTCACCAAGTAGATGCGGCCACGGAGCGTCACCACGGACAGGTAGTTGACATACCGGAGTTGTTGGCCGTCGCTACGGCTGATGCTGCTTGGGAAGGTCGACCAAGCTTTGTCGTCGAGGAGCTTCCAATGGCGGTCGCCGGCCTTGGCGTACGCGATGTTTAACCGCATGTCTCTCAGGAAAATAGCGACGGTCGGTGGGGAGGTCTCGTCGGAGATGCCGGCGTAGGCAATCAGCGACCACGGGATCTCGGCATGGACACGTTTCTCAGGGATCACGTTTGCCATGGCGGCGGTGATGGGTGGGAGATCGGTGACGGCTTTTGTGAGGGGATTGAGGAGTCGAATGGCGTCGGTCACCTTGTCGCGAAGGACCAGGAGGCCCTCGGTCCTGCACTCGATCTGGATCTGGCCGCCGGCGGCGAGCTCCTCCGGGAGGTCGACCTGGATGCAGGCGCCGGTGGCGATGTTGAGGAAGCGGCACCGCATGTCGCCGGAGGTGGAGGAGAGGAGGATCCAGCGGCGCGGGCGGAAGCGGCTGTCGAGTTCGCGCGGGTGGGGGGTGCACTCCCTCCACGCCTTGCAGACGGCGCGGAAGCGAAGGTACTCTGCCACATCGTACCCAAGCAGCCTGCTTGCAATATCCTCGGTCAGCTCCGATGGCAAATCACTCCTGCCACAGTGAGTACCGATCGATCGATTACAAATCGGAAACTATTTAGGAGATAAATGGTGTGGAAAACGGGACTCGCCATTGGTGGAGATCGCATCTGCGCTTCTTCAACCATCTCGGGCGATCTTCATCATCTGCAAGGAGGCTGCTACGGGTTTGCTTCATCTTCAGATCTTCTTCTCAAGAAGAATCGGTGCAGTGGCGGCGGTGTTGACAATGAAGTATAGATATAGACAGCAGGATATATGGAAAGAGTGTGGCCTTCAAGGTAGAAGAGGGCCTCCTCGATCGGTTTGGGCTGGAGAGGCTTGCTGGGCTGAGTTCATGGGCTGGCAAGTGTGGGATGATGGGCCGTGAAGTGAGTTGGGTTGGGTTTGAGAGGAGAGAGAAAGAGGGCCCAGAATGATTAGTGTTTTCTTTTCAGTTTTCCATAATTTTGTTCTTTATTATGGGTAAATGGAATTGGAAAGTTAGATTGGTTTATATTCACAAAATTTGAGTAATTCAAAGGAGATATTTCCTTTGGAGAATTTTAGTCACCTTTGTGACTTTAGTAGTTGATGAAACAAAACATTGGAGGAAAGGAACAATGTGAGAATGTTTTTTGCAAAATGTTTTATGCCACAATTTTTATTTTGTTCCCACATTTATTTATCCATGAAGGATGATTTTCCCTACCTTTTTAATAGTTTCTAGGTGTTGTTTGTTAGTTCTCGATTTCACTAAGTTCACTTACTTTGGGTAAAGAGATTTTGTAGCAACAACAAGGTGTTGTTTGAATTTTTTTTAGAATTATCTTGAGAAAGCAAAAGGGTTCGATATGAAGAATTATCTTGAGGCGCAGCGGACCGTGTTACCGGCGACGCATGCTAATTGCTAAGCACAACAGTGGCAGCTGTTCGGGATGGTGGCGTAATGTCACGCCCGGAAATTCACTAGTAATTTCCGAACTTATTTGTGCATAAAATCCTCGTCCAGGAATCAGCCGAGGTACACAAACTGACAATTTTAATATACAAACCCATCATAATAATACCGTTACATACTTACAAAAGGAAAAAAAAAACAGCAGCGGAATTAACGGTCTAGCGATGGCTTCAGCTCCACTCCCACAGGCAGCTCAACTGGGGTATAAGCCAAACGTCTTCTCCTTCTGGATCCTTTATCTTCAACTGAGGTTTGATGATTATTGCAAGAATGAGCATATGACATACTCAACAAGCCACACAGCAAATATGCAAGTGCACAAGGATTCCAAAGGATGGCATAATATAGGCTCATTTGCAAAAGCAGCATTTAGCAAAGATTTAAGATAAGTAAAACAGTAGAGTAATTAATCATCAATTTTAATCAACACTGAACAGCACACCCATGCTGCTCAGGCCCAACCATCCTGAACAACCATACCCGGCTGTACAGATCTAATCTCCAAACCAGGAGCTAAGCAAATTATTACCAGGTATAACATCTATAAATATCGTGAGAGGTGTGAGACTAATCACGAAAAACATTGCTCAACTCGCCCATAACCGCGGGCACGGCTATTCGAATAGTTTTACTCTGGCCAGAGGTGTACCACTGTACCCACAAGACACGATTCCACACATGTTGCCATGCCCCGAAATACCACCACGGCATTGCAAAGGGGGAAATCGTGACAATACCCTTTGCACAACATAACTCAAAACAGTGCACCGTTCCCGGATCATAGTCACCCCCTTATAAACAAGGCATGGACTCCCCAGCGACCCCCATGGACTTCTCGCCGCTTCACAGTCTGGCACACTATAATGAACCATGCTATACAAAAGGTAAAGCCGTTGCCCATGCTGGCTTGTGGTTGGCACGGTAAATGTTTCACAACAGTAGCTCGCGAACCGGTCCTTAATTGTCATGAACACAACCATCAAAACCATATGCTCACAACCCACCTTAACCAGATTTTAATTATCAATTAATTAACATCACACGATTAACCATCGTGAGCGACCATTAAATATAACCATAATAATAATAATATAATATAATATAGTTTATAATTAACCCCTTTAGTTAGCTAATGTTTCTAAGCATGGCTAAGCAAAATACATATAACATTTAGCTGAACCAATCCAATATATAAGGTTCATGCTAATCAAATTATAACCCATAGGAAAATAAGATCATCTTCGGCCATTAATTAACGGGGAAAGGTTCACCACCCGATGACATTCAAAAATAATGCATAGTTGAAATAAAATAATAGCTTTAAACGGGTTCAACATGCTCAAAGGGTTGTTTGGGATCTGTGTGACTTGCCTTGAGCTTCCGCAAACACTTCCGAACCTTGCTCAACGAAAACGCTCTCCTTCAGAACGTCGGAAACTAAAGCAAAAGAATAAAAATCAACAAAACAGTACAAAAACAAGTATAAACAGTACATGTAGATATTTTTAACATGTAGATCTCAATTTCAGAAAAATTTAGCAACTTGAACCACCTGAAACGGATCTACGGTTATTTAGTTATGATTTTCCGAAGATTTAATCTATTAGAAAAAACTGGAAAAGGAGAAGATGATGACGTCATGATGACATCATCAATGTCGGCCGGCTCGGATGGCGACCTCGCCGGAGCTAGGGTGGTCGGCCGGGATTTTGGAGGACATCTACACGTAGAGGACGACGAGACGAACCCGATGGTACTCACCAATGCGTCCAACGACGACCGACGGCGGCCGGCAACGACGCAAGAGGCGGCGGCGGCTCGGTTGAACGGCGGTGATGGCGCTACGACGGCCGGCGACGGCGGAGAAGGGGCGGCCGAGCTTCCCCGCTCCCGTGCGCACCTAACGGCGGCAACGAGAGGCGGCAATGACGGCGGACGCGGCGGCGCGGCGTGGCCGGAGGATGGCCGGCGGCGGCGGCGGCTTGACACGCGCGGCGGCGACGCTACAGAGCAGGGGAGAGGACGGGAGAGGGGGCAAACAAAAGAGGAGGACTAGGGGGTCCTATTTATAGCCTTGGATTGAAGAGATCGGACTCCTCCCGCAAGAAATCGATCCGGGAAATCAAAAACTCGGTTTTGGAGATAAACTCAAAAACGAGTTCGATTCGGATAAAATACTCAACGGTTTGCTCCGATTCTTGGGGATAAGGATAGAGGAGGATAAGAGGAATATTTCCCCTCAACTAATTTTAGGAAAACACAAGAGAAAAGGTCGGATTTGGAGGGGAAAAACCGAGCCCACTCGGTCTCGGTTCGGCTGCTAGAGGTAGAAGATGAACAGTGCCCAGGGAGGAAAATTAGACTTTTGGTTGGCTGAGAACAGAACAGAGCACTTGACTTGGGCCGGCTTGGGCTGCACAGCACGCGCGCGAGGGAGAGAGAAGAGGAAGGAATGGGCCGAAAAGGGCCCAAGCTGAGGAGGAGGATTTTTATTACTTTTCCAATTAAAATAATCACTTAAATGATCTTTCAATTGTTAAAAATACTTCCAATGCTCAAATAATTCCAAGAAAAATCTTGAACATACTTGGACACTCAAAGTATTTAATATAATAATATCCAGATCATTTAATGATTAATTTATTATTTAAATAATTACTAAACTATTCTTTGTATGATTAAAATTTGGAATTGAGCTCCGAAAAAAATCCGAGAATATTCCAGAGAGTATAATTAATCATGGAGAATTTAATAAAAAATTAAATCCATCCATGCTTTATATTTAGAAAATTTTATTTCCCACATTTAACTTCACTTGTAAATTAATGAACATTTAATATAAATTTAAATAATCTATAAATCCTGAAACAAAAAAATTAGGATGTGACACGTAAGCAAGGCTACCGAGGACGGTGGCTCAATTCCATGATAAAATGGGGTCTAGGGTCTACCCTCCATTCTGATGAAGATATGGCCCATTGGTGTACCTATATTTTATATACGGGTGGTCCAACTTATATATTTTTAAATTCTATAAATATAACAAGGTTAAAAGTATAAATTGATAAACGTGCATCATAATGTACTAATAGTGGAGTTATTTTTCTTTTTTTCAAAACTTTTTATATATGTATATATGCATTGGGCTAGATTTTTTTTTTCTCGGGACCACCGGGACAATCTTGGATCCGCTATAAGATGGCCTGCAGATAAATGGGAAAGTTCACCGGTGTACTGAAACCGATTTGATTTAGATTGTTCATGGGCATGAAAGAAGCTATTTGGAATGGTTCAAACAAAAAAAAAAAAAAGACAAAGTTACTCTGTTCAAAGTGAAAAGATTGATTTGAGGACCATCTCAAGTGAAACTTTGGAGATAAAAAGTATTGCAAACTGCAATTTACTTTTTTGTTTTTTCTTTACCAATTTCAAACTCTAGTGTGCTCTATTTGTTGATAGAGTCTGTACTTGGAGAGAATATAAATAAAAGGACTAAAAACACTAATAACAACTCCCGAATCCGGAACTATGGATGGTCAAATGGGCCGCCCGACACGGCACGGCCTAGGCCCGGCCGTGCCTGGGCCGAGGTTAGTCGGGCCAGCATGGTCCGACCTACACGTCGAGCCGTGCCAGCCCACGGGCTGCACACATGGCCCAGGCACAGCCCAATTCGACTCGGGCCATGCCAGGCTGGCCCGAAGGCACGACAGCCCATCGTACTTCTCCACTGAATAAGTCTATTTTTCGTCCCTCAACTCTGTGGGCTATCCATATGGTTGGAAAATAAGTCTATTTTGGGCCTGTTCGGCTGCCTGTGCTACGGCTGCGGCGTAGTCGGCACCAACAGTGCCGCACACACATGGCACAGCCGCAGCTGCAGCCACCGTAGACAAACAGCCGAATAGGCCCTTTGTATTCCTCTTCTCTTTGGGCCTTGCATTATATGGTTATTTAAGTCTATTTTGCATCCCTATATTATTTTTCTTCGATCATGGCGGGGCGGGCCGGCCCACCGTGCCGAGGGTGCAGCCTAGGCATAGCCCGGATGGTTGGGCTGGGCTGGCACGGGCACAACCCCAGTCGGGCCGGGCCGTGCTTGGGCCGGGCCACGGGCCTCGGGCCGTATGGCCATTTATATTCGGAACCCATGAAAGGCGAACTCCCCTATGGAAAAGGGAAAAAAGAAAAAAAAACCTATCTTTCCTTGAAATCCGAAACTTGCTTCCTCCCCATTCGGACGGAGTCGGCTAGGTTTCCATCGGCGATCACGCTCGCCGCAGGTAAGCCGGCGGCGACCC